ACTTTTTTCAGTTTGGTCTATTTTAGTAGGGGAACCGAATCTCCCCAAAAAAAACCTAGAGAAGGGCACGATCCTGGGGGACCTAGTTTTGATTTCCCGACTTCTTGCCTTGCTAACAGAGTGCGCTTTCCAAGACCTGGTGGCATCTATGCTTCTACGCAACCAAACAAACCCCATCATGTAAAAGACGGGAACAACCCTACGAACGAAAAGAACGAAAAGAGGCTCAATCATTGGAACGGGGCTCCGGGATACTTTGAAGCCAAATTGCCTCATAGTTATCTGCCCGTTGTATCTGGAGTCTCCAAGACCCTTTTCATACCTGGGGTAGTGTCCAGGCTAACCCCGTCTTCTCAGGGTACTCCTTAAATCAGAGGTCCCCTTGAAAAGTTGCAACTCACTGGTGGTGTCCATTTACCACTCGTTCCGGGGTGTACATGTTTTAGGAACGAACCGGTTCATGGATACCACCGGACTCGCCAATTGACATCGTTTGCCTTATAACGGGTAACTAAGGTAAAATTAATTCATTGACAAGCAATGCGGGTGTCCTTTTGAGAAATCGGGCCACCAAAATGGGCGGGTGTTCCTTTTGGTTTCTGTTTTTCACCACCAAAACAGGGGTACCAACTCCAAAAAACGACACGCCCATGTGGACCTGCTTTGTGCACGGAACCCCTCTTGGTTATTTGACTGCCAATCTTGTGAGTTGGACACCAACCTTTTGCGAGAAACCAACCATGTTTGAGGGTCAAACAGCAGATTTCCCCTTCAAAAGTTGCAGTTTACCGGCGGGCTCCAACAACATCGGCACTTTTGGTGGGGAACTGGAAGGACCCCTCGTCAGAATCAGGAAAACCAACAGGACATGAAACCTTTTCAGCGGGTTTCTGGAAACACCCTCATTCAATCCTTTGAACAGCCCGTCCATTTCAGTCCTCTGGCTGCCCGGGTGAAGTTGAGTCGTTTCATTGCGTGTGGGAACCCTGGATTCATAAACCTCTGGTTGAGTTCCCCAACCCCTGTGCCAATAACACCGCCCTAGTAGGATGGGCAATATTCATGTGGGCTTCGCACATTAGTTGGCCAAGGCCAAGGTCACGTTAAGATCTGAGACTGGGCATGCTCCCGAAACTCGTAGAGAGCCAAGAACGACCGCGGCAACTTATTCTTGGTGCTCAGTAGGTACGGAATGACTCCAGGTGTTAGGAATGAACTGCTTTGGGATTCTCGCATAAAGGAAAACATACGGGATGATTTTTCTTGGGGTCTCATTCCCGGCTCAGAACCAGCACGTTATTTTTCCAACAGGCAAAGCCAAGATTCTGCGCAATGATGAGGCCAGACTAAGAGTCTGCAAACTCAACGGGTAAGACTTGCACCCTGTGATTCTCACATGAGCACCGGTCTTGATTTGAAAATGACATGCCAGCGCAAACTGCGAGCACTGGGCAGTGTTTGAACTGCCTTGGATAGCTTCGCGAGCCACAGAAGGAAACAACCACCGAAGGAGATGGGTGGGTCTTAAATGGATCCCAAAATGGTGGTATTTCCTTTTGATGTCCCTCTTTGCACCAACCACAAATTGCCAAACCCGCCAACAAAAAGACAGACCCATATGCCTTCAATGAAACGATAATGAAAAGCCGGGTCTTTCAAAAACAACTGCTGCTCAACTGCTCAACACGGCTTGATTGCCACCCGTGTGTTTCGTAGAAGTTGTTTTACCTCGGCGAGGGAAACATTGGATTCATTCGAACTGATCCAAGTTGAGTTCGAAATCGCGGGCGGACCCGCCTTGCGGGACCCTGGAAATTTGAAGGTGTCCTGAACATTTGAGGTTCCCGATATTTCCTCCTACATCCCCCAGCAAAAGGAACAACTCACTTCAAGAAGCCCCAAAAGATGACCCTGGGCTTCAAACCACCATTACAAACAATGGCGGTTGATATAACTATCGTTGTTCACCTAAGAAACGTCATCATCCAAATCTAAACCGTGTCCTTGCTTTTCGATTTTTTGGGGGAGTTTTAGACCACTGCATTAGAGTCCCCATATGTCCAATAGTGATAGATTCCCTTTACAGCCAACAGGGGAGAAACAAAAACCACAATTTTAAGCAAAAGAAAGCACCCGAGCAATTCTTTGTGTCCACCCGAGCCTTTGAACACAATCAGGAGATGGCGTGACTTACTCGTGCTCGCGAGCCTCGAAAAGGCCGCAAGTCTCTGTCCCTTTCGTTCGGGACATTGACACGGCGGTGAGACAGGAGAAAATTGGAAACTCGGCTCCGCTTCGGCTCTTTGGGCTCCTCAGTTGTTCAGTGACCCTGGAAAAAAAAAGATTGGAACCCTATTTTGGGAAGACCATTTTAATGGGGCAGCCACCAAAAAAAAGGTGAAAAAAGAATCGGAGCCACTGAACAACTGAGCCTCTAAGAATAATTTTGTAGGGCACCTCACCCAAAGTGGTTTGGAGCTCGGCGGTTTGGACCTACTTTGTCCATTTGGTTCTGGTTCCAAAGGGGTTCAAATCCCCAAACCAATCCAAAGCACTAAGTCGGGGTGATGTGTTGCACAGGATTCTTACATGCTTTTATCTATCCAGAGTTTGAAGCAGGTCACCTTCAGGTCTCTTAGCCACTTTTTTGGGGTTCATGGATGATCTCAACCCAAAACATGGTGATGCTCATCCTCCGGCGTGCGTGCTGGGTCGAGAAGTCAGTGGCTGCTTGCTCAACCCTTTGGCGTTGCTCGAAACGAAAAGAAATCCTCGCCGCCGGGGAGTCCTAAATCGCGAGTTGCCCTAGATGCCTTGAAGGGTAGTTTTTTTTCAGCCCCTATTGACTTTTTTCGAGGCCTACTGGAAAAACCAGAACTTCAAAAGGGTTTAGGTTAAGCTGGAAAGCAAGAAAAAACCTGCTTGGGGAAAGCTCTTGATGAATACCGCCTCGTTTTGAGGCTTGGCATATCGAAAATTATCGTTGAGGAGCCGTTGAGGTAGGAAAGTCAAGCTATGGGCTGCTCCTTTTTTGAGGGTACCCTTTTCGGTTGGCTTGAAGGGAATGAAAAGGGAAACCACTATTGTGCGTTTGATGTTTTTGTTGGGGGGGTGGAGAAGGGGTCCCCGAACAAAGACACACCAGAATCAAACCTCTTGTGTTCACACAGTCTCTTTTGGATTTCACGTGCCCTGAGCCTAGCTGGGTGTCTTGGTTGAGGGTACCCCTTTTTGCGGTTGGTTTACCGGTCCCCTATTTTGAGACAAACCCATATGAGAACGCGCAACAAATGAAGCCAACTCAGGCAGGATTTCGCAGCTCCAACAAGTTAGTTTGACCTGGCGCCTGCGGACACGACCGTGTCCAGAAATAGAACATCAAAGCTGCCGACAAGATACATGTTGTTCTTCGTTTTGGGGACCTCGAACATGGTGGTTGTCCTTTTCGTTGTTGGATTCCCTTAAAACCACAAAAAAAGGTGCCCTCAAAAAGTACACACCAAGGGCCCTCTAAACAGCTGGAAAACTTGATATTCAACATGGCCAAATCCGTTTTTTGCAACCCATGCGGGGCTGTGCCAAAGTGGATTTAGATTTGGCCCACGTGGCAGTGTGACGGAATCCACTGAACAACTCGAGACAAGTGAACGGGACATCACCATCGTTCACCATCACAACCCGAACCCTCCAGTAGAGAGGTTGGAATCAGGGTACCCTTTTTCGGTAGTCTATCTTAGTAGGGGAACGCTCCCCCAGTTGGTCAAAGGGCACTACTGGGGGACCTAGCTACCAAGATCCAGCCCATGTCTTTTAGTTCGGTCAGAAAACAAAATACATGCACCCCTCCGCAGATCTGATCGAAGGGGTCTGCAAACCTTTCAAGCGCAAGCCGTAGAAAAGCGTTCCCAAGGCGGAATGTGCTTCAGGCCGGTGCTTTGCAAAGCTCTGCATTCAACTGTGTAGGACCCTTAGGGGGAAAACGGCAGATGTGCAAGAATGCCCCAAAGTTGAAGTAAATCATGCCCACGCAAAGGACCTTCACCATGGTGAGATCGCTTTACCTTCAGGCGAGCGCCATAAAATTGGAATACAAAAAGGATATTCTCAAATGGCACACCCCATCATCTCCCGGAATCATTTGCCCGAAGCTCTGGGGGTGAACAGCAATCGCACAGTTTCAGCCCCCGTTTCTTGGGGATCGATGCTCTAACATCAGCATGATTCGTAGATGGCATCTTATAGGGCAGCACACGACACGTTATCTTCCATTTGCTGAAATTAATTACGTATTTTCCCCTGGTTTGAAAGGGACTCAAACTCACTGGACATATTTGCCAACATGCTTCTCAAAAATATATACAAATGGAGGCTACGGAACCCGGTGGACCAGTGGAGCCCTGTTTTCCTTTCTTTGGGAAGGGTTCCACATGCTCCTGCGCCAAATGGATTCAGTTGGGTGTGGCTCAAAATTAGGCAACTGGGGTTACGCGAGTTTTAGTCTACCTGTCCATTTACCAGGGTTCCATGTTGGACCCCCATTTTTGAGCCACACCCAGTTCATGCTTTGCCCCCCCTTAGCGGGACGGCCTGATTCTTGGCTTCGGCCGGGATGTGGGCTCCACTCACTCCAATTGGTGGGGGGGTCTTGAGCCATGTGGCGGAACCAACCCAAAAAAAGGCTGCCCTTATTTTTCCAGGGTTTAGGGCTTGGGAGTTTTAGGGATTTTCCCATGGCCACTGGGCATCTGAGGTAAATATGTATATATATATATTATATATGTATTATATATATATATATATTATATATATATTCCTCCCAACGGGCCCGATGTGATGCTTCTACAAAAATGGGTCAAGAAGCTCAAAACAGATCTGGTCTGCGTACCTGGACCCGAAAGAACTACCCAAAAAAAGAGTTGCACATGAAAAACCGACCCAAATTGCCCAAACCCAATTCTATGGCTATTATGACGAAACCACCATGTCTACAAAAAGACATGGCCTCATGGGTCACAGAGCTGCATCGCCGGCACGCTGCATCTTTCTCTCGGGGCCACGAGGGGAACCACGGAACGGAACCCCGATCCGCTCATTGGACCAGTGGGTTTTCCATTGTCCTCTAGACTCCCAGGGTTACTGACATGTTTTTTTTGTTTTTTTTTTTGTTTTTTTTTTTTGTTTTTTTTTTTGTTTTTTTTTTTTGCTGTTGATTTTTCTTTTTTAATAAAGAGCTATGGGCAAGCGATTGGGTTTTGTTGGATCTCCCTTTGGATCTCCTAGCAAAAAGGTCGTGCAAGGCCTAAACCTAAAGGTTATCAACCCTAAACCCTAAACCTTTAAATCTACAAGCCCTACAACTTTCCATGTGCTTGCCCTTTTTACTGACATTGGATCTTCAAAGAAAGCTATTGAAAGACCGGCTTTCCTCTTTGCTTCAGCCCAGCGAACTTCATAGGTGAGCTGTGAGTAGCTGAGAAATTTGGGGAGCGTACCTCGTGGCTCATGCTGGTTTGCCCTGATTGCACTCGCTGCTCCCCCTTTTTGATGTTTAAAGGGGGTCTCCCTGCCGAATCAAGCGCAGAAAAAGCGGACTTGTTGCTGCATGATACTAAGTGTCTCGCCTAAAGAAGGAGCAACCGAATTCCACTGCATGCTTCTTCGTTGAAAGGGAGTATGCACTGGGAACACTCTGGAAAAAAAGAAACACGGCAAAGCACTCGACTTCAAGAGACGTGCCAAGAACCGAAACCAAGCCTCCCTCCGTTGCCAAACTACCAGAGTGCCGAGGGGCGACAAACATTGCGAATTTCAACTATTTTTTTCTGCCTCTGGTGTCTTCCACACCGGGGATGGACGAAATCCTGCACCACCTAAGAAACCCTGGAATGATCATTCCCCTGTAAATAACAACAAACCTTGACTTCCCATGGTTTGAAAGTGGTGCAGGATTTCGTCCATCCACAGTATTGCAATAATTCAACCTTCACTGGCCCCATTCTTCTGCCGTGATCAACGTCCCCCCCCCCAAAAAAAATGGTGGGTTCAGGGACACACCCCCATTGTCTGACTTTCATAACCCCCTCCCGAAAGAGAACCAACATACAAATGCAACTGTCCTAAGCTTTTGCGACGTCGACGGGGGGGGTTAAAACGCTAAGCACTCCACCAAAGCTGTTGCCCGCAAACATATTCGGGGAACCAAAAGGATCTGTATCTTCTTTTTAGAATGACTCGTTGGGTCGTTTTAAAGGAACGCCAGAAAAACAACAAAAAGGCGCAGCATGCATTTTGGTGGGGTTCCCGAATGTGACCTCATGGCGAGCGCATCGACCCATCCGCTTGCGCGAGGGGATGGCGCTAGAAGACGCAGGCTGACTGCTGCGCCAAGGTCCGCAAGGTGATGCGCAAACTCAGCTCCAGCGTCTCCTGCCTGGGCTCAAGCGCGGTGCGCCGACGACGTAGCGTCGGAGAAATCTGGGAAGGCGCTCGTTTCCAATTTTTTTGTTGGGGAATCCGGAACTCCTTTTGGTTGGCAAGAAAAGGGGAGCCAAAAGGGAACCCACGTACTTCGTTCATCTGGCAAGGCGCGAAAGCCGTTTTCATTGGTTCAGAATTCCGAATCCCCCACTGTGGTTGGCTTCAGAGAAGGGAAACCAAAAGGAAGCCAACGGTTCAAAGGAGGTCTCCTAATTTTGAGGCCAACCCATCTATGCATTCGTCACTGGCATGAATCACTGGCTAGTGAGATAATGGTTTACTTTACAACTATCTAAAAACAAACATTGAAACAAAGCGGCACCCAAAATAGTGTTCCTCTCTGTCACCCTTTCAGGTTCCATGTTCATTGCGTTTTCTTTGTTTTCCCCAACTATTCTGAATCAATGGATCCAACCCTTCTCGAAAATGTATTACCCAAAAACAAACGGTTTCGGACAACTGCAAAAAAGCACGAGAACACGAACTGCCTGGTTTCCAACAGAACGATGGACGAAGCAAGTCAAAAGCCTCCAGTTCTTCTGGATCCCGAGGAGACACAGCAAACTCACTCCGAGTCGGTCTTTGCCCATTTCCCCCCGTTGGCCTACCTTTCTCAGTTGTTCAGTGACCCTGGAAAAAAAGGATTGGAACCCTTTTTTGGGCTTGGACCATTCTAGTGGGGCAGCCACCAAAAAAAAAGTTGGAAAAAGAATCGGAGCCACTGGACAACTGAGAACTTTGGTTCTACCAACACGGTTTCTACCTTTGGTTCTAATGTTGGACGGACCTGCTTTATTCATAGGAGCTCTGCCGATGCCATGCGCCAACCTGAGACTCCTCCACGTTTCGTTCTTTTTGTTTCCCCCCAAAAGCGGTCAGTTCGTTCGGCCTGCACCCTTGACCGAAAATGGGACCCTTTACACATCTCATGGCACCAACGTCAAGTTGCTTGACTCTGGGTATTGCAATGCAACCATCTAATTCACCAAGCTTCTCATAGCTATTGGAACCCTACAGGCTGGACTTATGACAGTGAGCGGGCCCCTTGGGTGGGTTTTCGCTGGTAGCAGCCAGAAAATGGGCGGTCCGCCCGGAATTGGTACGTCGGGTTCGGCGGTTCGGCGCCCTCCCGCCCTCTGGGGCTTCGGCACCAGGTTGGTGCCTGAAGATGAGTTGCTGCCACTTGGATGGAAGGCTTTCTCAACATGGCTGTGGCTCACAAAAAACCGGTACCAAAACGAAGCCCTGGCAAGTGGAAACATGGACCAACACCTGCGTAACCCCTCCTGTTTGATTTTGAGCCACACCCACATAGGTGGCCCTTTGGACAAATAGATGGGGTTCCTTGTGTTCATCAAATAAAACCCATCTAAAGCAGCGCCATCCATTTTTGAGCAAAGTAACCAAGGACAGCTAAATCAAGGTAGACAAGGGTACCAGGTTCAAACCAATGCAAACCCAGTCTTTGCGAAGCCTCCGGTGGTGCAACTTTCCCTCTTGGTTTCAAATTGAGTTTGGCAGAACACAAAGTTTTCTCTTTTCTTTTGGGCCCCGAATTCAATCGAGGAAGCCTTTAGTTTGCTTGGTTTGTTTAAAGCGAGGGAGATCTTTACCGCCACCCTGCTTTTCCCAAGCCCAAGCTTCGTGCTGGATAGTGTCGCAGCACTGCCGAGCTTTTACCAGCACCTCCTGTGTTTCTACAATTGGGAGACCCCCTTGGTTGGGGTATTTAAATGGACACCAAAATAAAAACACACCATGTTGTTAGTATTTACAGGGGAAACCACGAGGAACACGTTGCCATGTTAGGTTCCCCTATTTCTGGCTGGTGCTCAGCAGGGTCGTGCTAAAATGACCACGGAAATCCATGTTGGCCCAAGTCCCTACTCACACACACACACACACACATGCCTCTTGAGATCGCCTGCCTCCTCACGTGTGCCTCTCTCCAAAACACCTGAACCCAGACTTCCAGATTGCAAGGACGGCTTTTGGCTGCTTGACTCCGACTAAAAACACAAGCAAAAACCCATTTGGGGCGCTTTAGCCAAATTTGGCAAACACAAGGTTCATTGTAGAAGTGGGGGAAGTACAATTCGAGCTTCTTCGCGGGGGTCGGCGAAAAACATTCGTCTTCAAGGCGGTCAAAAGGTAAGGCCTTTGCAGCGTTCATGACCTTGGCTGGTTGATTTGAAGAACCCCGTCAAACAAGAAAACCCGGCACACTCCAAGGTCCGAAATCATGCGGGTGTACAGGGGTCTGCGGGTCCGCATGTCTTCGCCAAACATGTCGCTGCATCCGCACATCTTTCGCCAGCGGTCGCCAAATTCCGTGGCAAAAGCTGCCGTGCTGTTGGGGAAGGCACGGATTGCGAAGGTTGCGTCGTCATTGTGATTTCCGTCTCAGGGGAGGTCGTTTTGAAGCGTTTTGCTTGGCAGGCACGTGCAAGCGTTTGCGCGAGCAGCTTCAAGCTGGTCAAAATCGGTCGAAATGATTCTGGCGCCGCAGCCCCGAGCAGGTTTCGGACACGCGTCCCAAACGTGCCAAAGTTGGATTTCGTGACAGGCGCCGTACTTTAGACATTATTCAGTTTAGACATTTTTCACTTTATGTGACAGGCGCAGCACTTTGGAGCACCACTCGCAGCGTTGATGTTCGTGGCAGCGGTACCTTGCAGAATAGAGACAAAGGTAAACAGATAGAGAGGCGCACAGACACACAAAAATAAACAGATAGAGTGATGGATAGATAAAACAAATAGCGCCCAGAAAGAGTGGATATACGGGTTGATTGATGCGATTGATGGGTTTGATAACTGAGAGATAGATAGGGAGCGAGCTAGCTGTCAAATAGGCCAGCAAATCGGTTGAAAGAAAGAACAAAACAAAACAATAAGAGAAAAGTGACGAAAGAGAGAAACAAAGGAAGGAAGGAAGGAAGGAAGGAAGGAAGGAAGGAAGGAAGGAAGGAAGGAAGGAAGGAAGGAAGGAAGGAAGGAAGGAAGGAAGGAAGGAAGGAAGGAAGGAAGCAAGGGAGGGAGGGAGGGAGGGAGGGAGGGAGGGAGGGAGGAAAGGAGGAAAGAAGGAAAGAAGGAAAGACAGAAAGAAGGAGACAACCAAAAACATTAACATAAAGACAAAAAACACAATCAAAGCAAGAAAGAAAGAAAAAAAGAAAGAAAGAAAGAAAGAAATAATGAAATCAATCATGAAAGAAAGAACGGAAGGAAGAAAGAAAGAAAGAAAGAACGAAAGAAAACAGAGAGAGAGAGAGAGAAAAGGAGACAGAGAGAGAAATGAGAAAAATAGGTAGGTAGGTAGGTAGAAAGATAGGTAGGTAGAAAGATAGGTAGGTAGATAGATGTATAGAAAGAACAAGACAAACAAATGGATAGCCTGATAGATGCACATACTTGTACAAATGCGTAGATGCACAGATTGGTAGATACATAAACAGATGGATAGAGAAATAGATGTACAGGTACCAGGATGAAGCCTCAAATTTTCATAAACAGACAAACCCATAGGCCCAACAGGCAGGTAAATGGATCGACCAAACATACACAGAGAGACCTGCCGCGGCGTTGGGCAATTCATCTTGAATTGGAAGCCAAAGGAAGCCATTCATCCTGGTGCGGGGCTGCGGGGGAAGTGGTCCCCGAAAAAAAACAAGACGCGACCGCGTGCGGCGGGCCAGGTGTGGTGTTTGGCGTTTTGCTACAAATGAGAAAACTGCACCAAACGCGCCTTTTTCTTTGCCTGACAAAACCTCATTGAGTTGGCTCCGCCTTGTGTTGACCCGTCGTAAAAATCAACCCCTGTTTATGAATATGGGAGTGGTACCCTCCAAAAGTGGTCTGATTCCCCACTAAACCCAGGGACACCCCCCTATTAACAAACTATCAACCAGTGAGGGGAACAAATGCCGAAACAAATCCGCTGACCTCTCTGCTTCCTGTTCCGGCGTATTCAGTCCCCCGAAAAAAAAAAAAAAAAAAAGAAAAAAAAGGGGGAAACAAAAAAACAAATACAACAGCTGTTTGGCGTATTCAGTCCCCCGAAAACAAAAACACAACATCTGTTTGGCGATCCCAAGAAGACGCGTCGGACGCCTCGACAGACACCTCCGCCATTTCTGGCCTCATTCTTGCACCATGATCAAAGTCACCCCCTAAGTGCTGGGTTGAAGGGCAAACTTAACCCCACTTCCTGACTTTGACGCCCCAGAAACTGTGAAAAATACACCGCCCCCAGTACTTTCCCACGCGCTCCTCCGGACGCGCGACGCGCGACGCGCGGCGCGCTCAACTTCGCGCCTTCCAGCTTGGGATCCCGCTCCAAGAGCAGCGCCTTGTCCAGCTGCCTCGCGCGAGGCGCGAGGGCGCGGGGCCGCGAGGCGAGGGAGCGCCGTGAAGGGGGAGGGGGGGAGGGGGGGAGGGGGGGTGGGAGGGGAGGGGGGGGGAGGAAAAAAGTAACAAACCCACCGCAAAGGGCTAGCAAACCTAGATCCCAGGCAAGAAATAGGCAACTCTTCGCCAGTGTTCCTTGTTTGAATACCCACTATACAGGTAAACCAACCCAGTGGATCCCAGAAGGGGATGGGAGCGCGTTTAGGCGATGGAGGAATGGGAAGCCCAATGCATCCCAGGAATTCGTTTCGACACTTTTGAGGGGTGGCAAGCTTTTGGCGACCAAAAACCATCCACTGGGCAAGGGCCAAAAAAGCAAGAAACCTTGGGAACAAGCCAGGGAAAAAAGGACAACCAAAAGGAAAACAAAAAAACGGAACTGCTCCCAGGGGGTCGCAAGGTTGAAAATGGGTCCCTCAGGAACCAAAGGAGTCCGACCATTTCCACCACGGTTGGTCACCTTGTAATCGGAGAACTGGCTTGGTTGTGGTGGAGACTTCTCTGCTGCGAGACCAAAGTGGGATTCCAAACCCCCGACTGCGCCTCTTTTGGCAAACGCCTGGACTAGTCGTTTAACCCCTTTTGGAGAGGCGTTTGGGGGGTTGATTCCGTCTCCAATCTCTTGACCCATTCTGTTCAGTTGTCCATTTTTCATTGGCGTTTGGGCCGGTTCAAACTGATATTTGGCCAGGGGGCCGGGGGCCTAGCATCAAACACACCCCACTTGGCTCGGAGATCTGGAGCGGTTCTCCAAAAGCCTACATCACAGAGGCCTCAAAGCGCGAGGTTGGTGGAATTTGGCCAAGCAAAGACGCTCGACGAACAAAATGCCCAAACGGCCGGTGAGGGGATTCAAGACTTATAAAACCAAACTCCGGAAACTCAGGCACGGTACCTGTATTGGGCCCAAAACGAGAAATGGCCAACCACTTGTCCTTGAGATTCTGCGAGGTTAAAGGAGTACTTGTCATAGCCGCAAACAAAACGACTTGCTTCACAAAACGACAACCTGAGAGACTTGGGTTGCCCCGCTGGTTTTCCGGGAAATCTAGTTGGTCCCCCCGTGCCCTCCCCAAACAACAGTAGACTGCCAACCATATTGTCAGTTACCTGTACTTTATACCTGGATACTCCTAATGAAACCACATTTTCCCGAAATAAGCAGAACAAATGCTCATGCCTGCCAAAAAAGCTTTTTGACACCGAACGCTTATTTCGATTCCTGGCTCTTTGTGACCCTCCATGGCTGGTTGGAATATGATAAAAAAGCACTTCCGCATGTCCGGAAATGCCCAAAGAGGAAATAAGCTGAAAGTCGCGCCTGGAGGTTCCAGGTATCCAACTCCTAAAATTCCAAGGCTAAAATTAGGATTGCACCAAGAGAAAGGATCTACGCCAGCACCCAGGTCCCAACCACGGCTTTTCCGACCTCTGCGATTTTGGACATGGTTGAAAAAGCAGTGGTCGGTGTACCGGCATGCCCAAGACAAACAATAGAATTGGACCAAGACAAAGGATGATCATGTCTTCAACCAAAGGTACCAAAGTTAGTTAGTGGTATCAAACAAACAACCAAAGTCCAAGGCTAGAACTAGGATTGGACCAAGAAACTGCCATGAAATGTCTATGAAACCAAGGCATCCCCCGGTGGTTCTTTTCTTTTTCATGGAATCTTCGGGGGGGGGGCTCTGGGGGGGGGGGCTATCCCTGGATAACAGGATATCCCCAGGATAAGCCCTGAATAAGGCCTTATTAAGGGCTCAATAAGGGATAGCCCCCCCTCCCCATAGCCCCCCTTGGGGGTGCATGATTTTCGGCGCCTAACCCAATTTTTCTCGGGCCCCAGGCCAGCGTCCAGTGTCCACCAGCGCCTCCGGAATGGTGTGTGTGCCGTGGGCGCCATGCGGCGTTTGGTCTCAAAATGGGGCGTGTGTCGTTTTTTGAGTTGGTATATAACCCCCCCCACCCACCCAACCCCCCCCCCCCCCCCCCACCCCCGTTGTTTTTTTTCTGTCTTGTTCTTTTATTTCTTATGTTATTTTTGTGTTTTTGTTTTAAGAGGAACCTCCATGTCTGTTCCCTTCCCCCCCCGCCCCGGTTTTGTGTCGGTTTTGAGTGGGTGACCCCCCCCCAAAAAAAAAAAAAACACCCACCTCCCCCCCCCCGCCGCCGTTGTTATTTTTTTTGGTTTAAGAGGAACACCAAAAGGAAAGCCTCCATGTCTGTTTCCCCCCTCCCCCCCCCCCAGTTTTGTGGGTACTGCGGGTCCGTTTTTGGGGGTGACTTTGATGCTGGTAGAATCACTTTCTGGTGCGATAGGTAGGGAATGAGAAATGGATTGACCCCTAAACCATCCCTTGTGTTTTCCTTTCAGGGACCACCAGGTTCACTCCCTCATTCCCTTCTGAGCGTTCTGTGGTTCTAAATGGTGGTTGTCCTTGTGGTCCCAAAATGAATTTCGGGTGTCCTTTTGGCTGTGTTTATGAAACCAAACCCCAGGAAGGGTACCGGAGCTCGACACATATATCTATATACATGTGCATCCATGGGTATTTCTCAAACCAAACCACACAAAAAGCTGCTAACCCCCGCGAGGACTCACCAACTTGATTGACCGCCTTTGCACACCTGCGGTGACCACCTTTCTCCTTGAAAAAACCCGGAACCGAACGGAACGGAGCCCCCGAAGGTCCGTCCGGCCTGCTTCAGGTGCAAGGGACTCTTCAAAGACGCCAGCACCTTCATGTTCGGACCTCAGCTCGGTGCTCTTTGCTTCGCTCGCTTTTTGGCATTGAAAGAGGGTTTCCCACTTTTTCTCAACGACGTTACCTAACTGGGTTTCCCTTCCCCCCCCCAAAAAAAAAAAGAGAGAGACAACCCCGGTTGAAGTCTTTGAGGAGAGTATGCTCTTGGGTTGCGTGCTGCAAACCTAAAACGCAACTGGTGATTTGCGTGTGTGTGCGACAAGTGGCTGACTTTTGCTCGCTGAGCGACTCATCTCAGCTTCCCCATGGGTGATTTGGAGCCCGCTGGTATTCTTTCCAGGGATCCTTTTTTTCTAAAAAACCTGCAGAAAGCCATGGAAAACGGATCCGGTTTGAAAAGAATGGACAAGGAATCAACCCCTAGCTTAAAATGGTAAAAGAGTTCCCTCTGGCCCCCAAACAGCCTTCTCTCATGCAAGAGGAATCAACCCTAGAGGTTTGCTGGTTCAGCACCGGGATCCCCATTTACTCCCTGCAAGAAACGGGGCTTCAAATCCGGATCCAAGCCAGCAGTCCGAGTCCAAACCACCAACTAAGGCTAGGTCCTCCAGATTTGAGAGGTTAGAATAAGTTGGTACCCGATTCTTTTCTGGACGTCTATTTTAGTAGGGGAACTCTCACCCAAAAAACAGTTGGTAAAAGGGAACTACTGGGGGACCTAGAAGGATTACCTGAAAAATAGTCGGTTTCCTCGTGTTGTTCTTAAAACTCAAAGGAAATGTACCTCCCCGACGCCCGGATCGTCCCCTCAAAACTCTTGAGCTATGCCCAGGCTTGCCTGATAGGTGCAATCTCTTGGCTCAATTGACTAAATGGCTCAAATATCGGGAGGTGGAGCCCCCCAACAAATGACTGTTTCGGTTTTCCGACTGGTTCTTCTTTAAGCCAACCCCAAAAATCCGCCGACCCCTTCTCCTCAAAGGGGGAGGCGTACGGGAAGGGCGGTTACAAGTCCAAGCCTGGCTGGTAAATGAGCATAACCGAAGATTCAACATCATCATCATCATCATCATCATCATCATCGGCGTGGTGGTCCTCGCCGCTGTCCTTATCTTGATTATCATGATGACTGCTGGTGATGCTGAGGATGCGTCATGATGATTATCATGTCAGTTCATCATCATCATCATCATCATCATCATCATCACCATCACGGTGCTCATCATCATCAGCTTCTTCGTCATCGTCCTTATCTTTTTTTATATACGTTTCAAGTGTCCCGTTAGACCCGATTCGAGATGCAGAAGATGCGCGGACATCATCAGCATCATCATCACGGTGCTCATCATCATCATCTTCTTCGTCATCATCCTTATCTTTTTTATATACGTTTCAAGTGTCCCGTTAGACCCGATTGGAGATGCAGAAGATGCGTGGACATGATTATCATGAGTCATGATGATTATCATGTCAATTCATCATCATCATCATCATCATCAGCATCATCACGGTGCTTATCATCATCATCTTCTTCGTCATCGTCCTTATCTTTTTTGACCCGATTTGAGATGCAGAAGATGCGCGGACATGATTATCATGATGACTGCTGGTGATGCTGAGGATGCGTCATGATGATTATCATGTCAGTTCATCATCATAATCATCAGCATCATCATCACGGTGCTCATCATCATCATCTTCTTCGTCATCATCCTTATCCTTTTTATACAGAACTGACATGGTAATCATGATGACGCATCCTCAGCATCACCAGCAGTCATCATGACAATCATGTCCACGCATCTTCTGCATCTCAAATCGGGTCTAACGGGACACTTGAAACGTATATAAAAAAAGATAAGGACGATGACGAAGAAGATGATGATGATGAACACCAACTGACATGATAATCATCATGACGCATCCTCAGCATCACCAGCAGTCATCATGATAATCATGTCCGCGCATCTTCTGCATCTCAAATCGGGTCTAACGGGACAATTGAAACGTATATAAAAAAGATAAGGACGATGACGAAGAAGATGATGATGATAAGCACCGTGATGATGCTGATGATGATGATGGTGATGATGAATTGACATGATAATCATCATGACTCATCCTCAGCATCACCAGCAGTCATCATGATAATCATGTCCACGCATCTTCTGCATCTCCAATCGGGTCTAACGGGACACTTGAAACCATCATCATCATCATCATCATCAGCATCATCACGGTGCTTATCATCATCATCTTCTTCGTCATCGTCCTTAAATCTTTTTATATACGTTTCAAGTGTCCCGTTAGACCCGATTTGAGATGCAGAAGATGCGCGGACATGATTA